CTTCTGTACAGAAAATGGAATTACATGATTTACATCACCATCTAATGCTACCTTCAACATCCACATTTAAATTCTGATTCACAACACATAGTCCAGCCAGTGTCCAGAAGCAACATGGGTCACTCAATCAGGTACCTCTATTCATGATTTATTATAATTAATTAACAGGAGTTGCAGCCATGGGAAAATCCAATTTATTTTGGCCATACTAGGTCACGTTCTAACATTCCAGGACCTCTGTCTGAGGGGAGTGCAAAGCTGGATTCCCTTTTATCACTATCTCTTTTCCTAGAAACTAACAACCTAAAGGAAAAATGAGAATCTCATGCCAGCTTTCATCAAATACTGCTTCAGCATTGAAAATATGTTTAATGTTCTCCATGTGTAAAAGTGATATCAAGCCTCATTCCTCTTATGCCCTAACTCCCTGAGGATTACTGCCAAACCATATTTGGCATATGTACATTACTCACATCCCTAGTTTTGGTAGGCTCAAATATGTCCATGTCATTGTGAACACCTCTTCATTGCTCATTTTTGCTGTTCCCCTATCAGCAGAAGCAGTTAAGAGTGTTGTCACCTTTTTACTAAGAGTTTTTTACTATTTCAGACCCCTGTGAAACATTAAGAACTGACAGTGCTCCTGCATCCTCTGCCAAGCCTTTTCCAGAATTTTGCCAACAGAGTGCTGCAAACCACATCACAGGCATTCCACATAACCCTCAAAGTCAATCTTTTGTGGAAAGAACTAATGGACAACTTAAACATAATTTACAATAAAGGAGGAGGGGAAGGGTGGTATGGCTACTTCTCACAAGATTTTGTCTTCTATTCTATACACTTTGATTTTTTTTTTTTTTAATTTGGGCAAGGCTTAGCCAAATTTTAAATTTGGCAATACTGCTGTAGATCTTTTTGGGCCCCTCTGAAACAATTCAGGCTCAGGGTTCTTTAGAGAGATGTTACATCTGGTTAATGGAAAGGCTCAGATCCAGCCACTCACCAGAGCTGTGGCTATGCTTGTGTGTTTCCTTGGGGTGCAGAAAAGCCAGTGGATACCTCAACGTCTGAGTCAATCTATGGAAGGGGAATGGAAAGGTTCAAGTATCGAAGAGGCTTTACCTGAAGAAAACATGAATAGGGCAACAGAGTCATCAGCCAAGAAGAGAGCCTACCAACAATGAGCCAACAATGAGTCAGATGAGGAAACTATTGACTGAGGGGAAAGAGCTGGTGAGGTCCAGGGTGGGGACTGGGGGAGGGGGGGATTGAAGAATTGCTGTTCCCTGACACTTGTCTCTGGTGAATGTGTCTGTTACCGCTGAGACACACTGGGGATAATGCCCTCATCCTGTGTTTTACTTTGTTAACTGGGAAGAGAATAGCATTCCTGTTTACATTAATTTGATGGGGGATGTCCTTCTGTATATATGTTTCTCTTATTGGTTGATGAGTAAAACAGTGATTGGCCAGTAGCCAGGCAGAAAGTAGAGGTGGAGCTACGAGATGAGGAGAATGCTGGGGAGACGACAGCAGAGAGGGGCCACCAGAAAGATGCCATGTAGCTGCAGAGGAAGAAAGGGGACCATGCATCACTGGTAAGCCCAAGACCATGTGGAAACACATAGATTAAAAGATTTGGGTTAATAATTAAGAGAGAAAGTTAGCCAATAAGAAGCTGTAGCCATTGGCCAAACAATGTATAACTAACATAATCCTCTGTGTTTTTATTTGGGGCTAAATGGCTACAAGACTAGGTGGAACAGAAACTCCTTCTACATTTATTACTCTAAATTTAACTAGAGTCAGATTTGTAATCATCTTACAGAAACAAAGTCAAATGGCAATTTAAGCATTGATATTTGGGCCTTGAATGATAAAATATTAACCATTCAGCATTCAAAGTTAAGTGAACCACCCTTATCAGTTGCTGAGCAAAAACCTAGCAAAGATTTTTGAACATCATTTTTTATGTTTCTAATTGAACTTCTAATCTGTGGTCCATAGGAAAGCCAAACAATTTTTTCGCTGGCTATACTGAGAAGCAGTATAGCCTTGAGATTGATGTGCTACCCTATGTCTACTTTGAAGATTGACTTGAATATTGTGAAATTAAAAAATGAAAGGGGGGAAGTGCAGAGAATCATAGAGGCCTGGTGTAGAGACAAGTGTCATAGGTCTTTCAGGTTAGAATCCGGGGTTCCTGCAGCACTGTGTACCTTTCAGTTCCTGAGAAACTGAGACACTCCCTCAGGCAGTGAAGCATTCAGGCAGCCTGTGTTTCTCTGTGCTCCCTAGAAATCAGTGAAGCATATAGGAGTTTGACAGAACAATTAGTCTCAGACACAAATCTCATGTAGCCTGTATAACTTCAAAACATCATTGTGTCCTGGCAACTACCATTGTGTTGATCTGGAAACCACCATTGTATTCTATTCCTGATAAGGTTATAAAATGTCTGATTGCTTGCAATGAACTTGTCTTAGTCTCAGTCCTGCTGTGACCCCCTCCAATCCATGCCTAAATAGATGGCGTTCCCATGGGCCATGGTCAGGTTACCCTGGCTTAGTAAGTAAGCACTGTCGCTTACAAATGCTAACTTGAGTTCTATGGTTGAATAGAAGGGGAACAAGAAATGTGTCATGTCCAGCAGTTTCTATCAAACTGTGGTCTAATTGGGCATTATCCCGGTTCTAGTCAACACCCTCTTTCCACCTGGTCCTGAAAGAGTTGATGTTTAGGGAGCCAAGCTTCTGTTTACAAGGCTTTTGTAAAAACTGTGCAACAAGTGAAAATTCAGTTCCCATGTTGCTTCTGATTACAGGAAATAATGTGATTGCTCCTCAACATGGACTATTTGTCTGAAAGAGTCTCCTGACCCTGAAAACCTTGGGGAAATGGCAGAAGATTTTTAGCCTCCATTCTAGGCTTCTGGAAGAGAAGGTTGTAAAAGCTCCAAGTTGAGAAGCCATTGAAAATACCTTAGTCTCCTATTTTGGAGTCTTCAGCCTTGAGAGGGAAGATTTCTACACACAGTCTTAAATAACCAACATTTACATGCACAGATATACAGAGATACATGATGAAGGAAGAGCTTTTAGCATCAACAGACTATTAATTAGCCCCCATCAGACATCCAATAGAGCAAGTAAGATTCTGTGTTCTACAAAGATCAGTCTTCACTCTTCATTTCACTTTCTGAACACTCATAATCCTGTGTCTACAAAGAATCTCAAGCTTGTAAGTGATCCCCTAAAAACTTCACTTCCATCTCAGAAAAGGATAATTGTATCCTAGTTTCTCAAAGCAAATATTTGGTCTATGATGCTTCCCTATGTTTGATATGTAATAATCTACTGGGAGAATATTTCCAGTTTTACCTCTGAATCCATCCTAAGTATTAGAACACCATAATACACTATCTAAATTACTCCAATTGTCATAAATATGTTCTATATCTTGGGGTTTCCATTACTATGACAAAATACCTGACAGAAATAACTTAAAAGAAGAAGGACTTACATCATGGTGGTCAGGAAGCAGAGAAAAAGATAGTTAATGAGAGCAAGGCAGGCGTGGTGGGTCATGCTCATAACCCCAGCACAGAAGACCAAGGCCAGCCTTGGTTACACAGACAGTTTGAGGTCAGACTGGTCTACGGGATTCTGTCTCAAGAAACCAAAAAGTAAAATAAAAGAGAACAGAGCAATGCTTCTCTCCAAGGCATGCCACCAGCAGCCTACCTCTTCCAGCCTCCTTCATAGGTCCTCCCACCTCCAAAACAGCACCATCAGAGTGGGGTCAAGTATTCAGCACATGAGCTTGGTGAACAGTTCATATTCAAATCAAAACATAGAATAATATATATTTACATTAATAAACACTTTCACAAGTCTCAGAAATGTGCTGATGGCAGAGTGTAGCCGAGCAACACCCAGACTATAGAATGGGATATGTCAACTCAATTTGGAGAAATTCATAGTAGCATAATGAGTATAATTAAAATAAAATTCTCAAAGTAATATCCTATAATCCAAATTATTTTAAGAAAAGAAAAAATATTGAAATAAAATTCTATACAATCAATCTTCCAAAACTAACTGGAACCACATATTGATAATTGAATAAATATATGGGGATAACTACTACCATCCTCTAACCTAACTATATATACCATATTTAGCCTAAATGTCCTTATTACCATTACCTTATAATCTTAACTGCCCATCTCTCTCCATTTACTGACTACCCAATGTCAATTGAGCACTGAGTTACTCCACCTTGTTTCACTGAGAAGTTTCTGATAAATCATTTATATGATACTCAATAATGACTTTTTCAAACATATAAGCAAATAGAAAATTATGTAAGTACATAAGCTTTCCAAGTGGAAAAAAAAAATACAGATACCCCAGTATCAATCTGTAGTGTGATAATTCTATAGTTACTTAACTTAAATATTTAATTAAGATGTCTATATATCTGTGCAGAAAATTCACCATTATTGGGCCTAAAACTACTGTCTTAAAGAAGATACAACTATCTGTAAGGCAGATACTGTTTGGGAGGGCTGTGCTGTGGGGGATTACCTGAATGCATAACACTGTTTACACTGCCCATCTGCATTCCTCCTGAGAATGTGGAATTTCTCTAAGTGCTAGCCAGAGGACATCTAAGTAACCAAGCCCCTCCCCAGCCCCTGGGCTCTGAGCCTTTAATGGACTTCTAAGCATTACACAAATGTTCCTACATTTCCATAGCTCCAGGAATTGCTTTCTGCAACCCACCAAAAGGAGGAGAGAGCTTAAGCAGCTTCCAAATGGATTCTTCCTGTCCTGCCTGAGTGTCTGTTCTAAGCCAATAGAGTAGTCCCGTTGCTCCACTGTATACAGTCCGACATGGAGTATAGCTACATGCTGAATCTTGCAGGCAATTCAAGTGTGGACACAGTTTTTAAAAACAGAACAGAACAGTGGCTTTCTGAAGGCCCAGATTCTTACCTGTTGATATGCTTCATAGATCACATCAAAGAGAAAAGCCTGTGGCATTTCGCTTGCCCTGTGTTTAGCACGGTCCAGAGACTGGTCTAAGCAACCATCAGCTGAGGGACTAATGACAGTGGACACCAGAGGTCGAATTGCTCCTGCTGCCTATAGGACAAAAAGGAAAAAAGAAAAAAGAAAAAAGAAAAAAAAAAGAAAGAAAGAAAGAAAGAAAACACACATTTACTTTACCTATAGATCATTTGTAGGAAACTCTAAATTCTACATCTCATTTCAAGTGTGGGTCTTCACATTTTCCGAAATCTCCCTCCAAGCAAGAATCTAAATAAATATTATTTATTCAAACCACAATTAACATCTAAAATTTAAAAATCAATTTCATAGAATAGCAATTCCATGCATGCACTTCAGTATAGAAATGCTATTTTTATTATGTATGCAACTTTTCCCCCCATCAGTAAGTAAATAAATGGCCTGACTTTGATCCCTGGGATCCTGGGTGGGAGGAGAAGACAGACTCCCATGGATGGTTATCTGACCTCCACATGCATACTGTGTCACATACACTGTCACACACCTCACACACACATAAGTGAAATAAAAAGTCCTCTCCATTATAAGTCACTGAGGTCAAACTCTATAAAAGAATGTTACAAGACAATTGGGTTTTCCCTGAAGATGGGAGGGAGAGGGAGACTATTGTGAAATAATTAAAATGAGTTTGAAATTAATGTTTAGAAATGAGTGTGCTTTCAGAAAATTTAATTTACACATCGGATCATTAAAGAAGCAAACTCCCCAGCATCCCCACTTTGAGACAAAACAACCTGAATAAGGATGAATTTATGTCTTGCTCTAATTCATTTTACAAACAGTTCTTTTCAAATATAATGTCCATGCAGCACTTCCTCGGGCAAGGCACCCATTCATTTCCATTTCCACAATGAAAGCTCTGTCTTATTAATGGCTGCAACTAAATTGCACATTAAGAATGACTCCTTCCTGACTGACCCTCTGTCCTTGACTCTCAATAGGGTTTCATTTGTAACATGGCCTTGACTATCCTTACCAGACAGCTACCTCAATGAAGTAGTCTCAAAGCAAGCGTCCATGGTGGACAGTCAACCAACCCTTTGTTCCCTCACTCTAACATGCCATTCCATCTACAGACTTGTTACATGACTATCTCAGCTCATGAAAGCAGTAAACCAATAGAAGAATGTACTTTGAAGAGAATGTCAGCTGAACAAGATGGTTCACATGATAGCTTACAGAAGCTGGTTTACAGCCAGTGGAGGAAAACACAGCTAAGATGTGAACCAAGGTGACAGTGTCTCCCACACTTCAAGTCAAACTGTAGAGCCTAGACACGAATTCAAAAGTGAGACAGACAAAGGTGAAGGGGGATAGTTCACAATGGAAAGGAAACACTTTCACCCTGATTTTTACAGAAAATATTGAATTTCCTGACAGCTACTAGAATTCCATTCCAGACCATAAAGAACAAAGAAAAGGAAAGGAAAGGAAAGGAAAGGAAAGGAAAGGAAAGGAAAGGAAAGGAAAGGTAGAATATGAGATATCCAAATTGGGAGGGAACAGGCAGTGAACGGTATGAAAGGTATTTTTAAAGCAGCCACTAAAAGCCCTTGTCCCAAGGGCCTTCAGCTGATAAAACCTCATTCATGAAAATCTGAGTGCTGGCTGAAAAAAGAAAATTGTGTGAGGCACTTAAGCAATGACTTGCTTCTTCTCCATCCTTAGTTCAAAGTAACTTATAGGGTGAGGGAGAAGATCAGGGAGGAGGCTAAAACCAAACACACAAAAGCATAAGGCACTCAGTTCCAGTTCATACTGGAAAAAGTAGGGAGTCAGTGGTCCCCTCTGAACCTTGTACAGACACCAAAACCATGCAAATGTGGCCCAGGTGTTCTGCTCACAGGCACAGAAAAGTTTCTATGCCAGGGAAAGAGAGGCAGGACAACTGCCCAACTCCTCTAGGCCCTCTATTAGTGGCAGCATAATGAAGTGGGTGTCACTCCAAGGAAACAGGACTCTATGCTCATCCACACCTCCAGAGCAGTATTGGAAGAAAGGGGGTCTAAGAATAAAGGTCTGTAAACCCCCTTTAAAAAATTGAGAAATTTAGAATAAGCACATTCTTAGAAAAAGGAGATTATTATAATGAGCAATTAAGAGGATACAGGAATCCACGTGAGACCAAAAAAAAAAAAAGCTAAGTTGAAGGCTGGCTATTTACAAGAAGACACAGGAAGCATAGCTAGCAAAACTCCCACCCACTAGGATCAAAACAAACTTCAAACATTGGTCTTAAACCTACCCCTGCAGAAAGGCCAGCATTTAATTGGGTCATACTGCAGAGAAAGTATGCCACCGGCATTATAAAAACTACAGCTGAAATGGCTAACGTGGCACCAATGGACAGCAGCCTGAGGAGAGGCCAAGGCAGACAAAGGCAACTATGCCAAACCTCATCATCTCAATGAGCATACATGTTCAACTTTCTAACATCTGAGAAAGTGGTATCTGTGCAAGGGACTTAAGTCGAATGCGTCAGCTGAGTCACAAGCAAGCAAAAATACTTTCTGAAAAGGTGGGCAGTAGGAACCGGTCAGTATCTGGAAGTATGAACGTGGATTTTCAAAAATACTCCATTTTCAATAAAGGATTGCATCCAAAGATAGCAACATACCTGGTACACGAAGGACCTAAGGAAGCAAAGCTATAAAAAGTGCCCCCAGGCAAGCGAGCACAAGTAAATTTCAAAGCAGCTCTTGGTAGTGTTTTGAAAGAAATGAGGAATCCTATCTGAACAGAAGCAAGCTATTCAGACACTTTGTTTTTCCACCGGGAGTTCGAGGATTGAAAACTAACATGAGTCTACTGCAGCTCGACACTTATTCCCTGTCAGGAACAGTGATTGCTAGAAGCAGTGGGACAGAAGTCCCTCTGAAAGAAAAAGATAATCTAGTCCATAACAATAGGACCAACATCTCAGAAAGAAACTAAAGCCTCACACACAAAAAGAAATAAATGCTTTGCTGGCCAATTCACTTTACAGATTATATAAGATGTTCTTCAATATAAACAAAATTAACTCCATCAGCGATTCTAAAGCATGGGACAAATACAACATTGACATAACAGCGAATTTAAAACACTAGGGAAATGGCCATTCCCTCCCTTCTCTTACTAACTGATTAAAAAGCAGCTGCATCAAATAATGGATACTTAATCCACACATTGAAATAAATTAAAATAAAAATGAGCAGACATAAAAGTGTACAGAAATAAGGAGAGGACAATGGATAGAAACATAAATATGTGACCCATAAAGCAAAAAATGCCTAACAAGAAATATAAACCATACCTGCTTGTTCACCTTTCTCCTTCCAGCTTCTAGAAGAGGCTCCCCTGGCTAATATTGTAACAATGATTTCACTTTGTATCACAAAGAAGATATGTGCATAATAATAATAAGGAAGGGATAGAGTCATATAAAAAACATGTGTGTTATAAAAACACTAGGTCAAGAACATATATGAAGATGTCTATGTCTGCCCATAATGTCTAATTTGCAAGATATCCCTGTTTCATTTGATAGGCAAACATGGGTTCTTTTAATCCAATATTAACTGAAATTAGTTAGTAACTAATCTTAACCATCACCACATATTACACATCACATGGCAAATATGCATACACATATGTTTGTATGTCTACAGGTAGATCACAAAGTGACTAAGGCATTAAAAAAGGCTACCAATTTCCAAGAAGCTGGGAAATCAATGCACATGTGCAGGAGTCTTAGCAGTGAGATGACCTGGAGAGGCACAAGGGCTGCTGACCTGGAGTCAGATGGCAGGGTCAGAGAGCTACAGCGTCCAGCAGCAGAGGTGAAAGGGACAAATTAGGTGCAGACAGACCAAGCAGATGCATGGATAGCAAATCTAGACAGGTGAACAGAAGACAGATGACAGAAATTAGAGTTGGCCACAGCAAAACCAGGGACCAAACCTAGCCAAAGAACCTGAGGCAGTCAATCCTCTGCTGGTCCCTTGATGCACATACTTGGTGGTCAAATAACAGAGCAATGGGGCTTTTACCACAGCACAGCTAAGTTTCCATCTCTTTATGGAGTCCAGATGAAGGAGCTGTAACCTCTTCTCTCTCAGGGATGTATACTAAGTTCTCAGAAATGTTTTTTTCCTGAATATATCAATATGCTCATGTGTCCCAATCACCCAAAACATTTGTGAATAGGGCCTTTCTACTCCCAGTAACAAGTTAATTATCAGTCTGCAATGCACAAATAGTACTGGACATTCATGTGTCAACCCAGACACAGAGCCACCTGCCATCTTCAAAATGGAAACAAAAGCTGCTTGTAAAATGGTTCACTCATAGGAAGTTGAAGTGTGAAAAAACAATAGTTTACATAATAGTGCAACATTTTATGGTAGGGTACAGCCTGCCCTCAACAATGCCTCTTCAGCTCAGTGGAATGAGGTAGTAAAAATCTGACTTTCACTGGCATGTATATTGTAGGCCCAACGGACCAAACTAATAAAATAACACTGTCCTAGTTTGGGTTGTCCTTGCTATGGTGAAACACCATGACCAAATCAACTCAGGAGGGAAGAGTTTATTTGGCTTACATTTCCATGGCACTGCTCATCACAAAGGAAGTCACTACAAAAACTCAAACAAGGAAGGAACCTGGAGGCAGGAGCTGATAGATAAACCACGCAGGGGTGCTGCTCACTGGCTTGCTCATGATGGCTGGCTCGGCCTGCTTTCGTATAGAACACAGGACCACCAGCCCAGGGATGGCACCAACTATAATGTGATGGGTCCTCCAACATCAATCACAAATTAAGAAAATGCTCTGCAGAGTTGCCTATAGCCCAGTTTTATGGAGGCATTTTCTCAATTGAGGCTCCCTCCTCTCCACTGACTTTGGCTTATGTCAAATTGAATTCACGTAAAACTAGCCAATAGCATACATACACACACACCACACACACACACACACACACACACACACACACACACACACACACACACTCCACATAAAGAAATAAAAATATTCTACAATGGAACCTTCTCCAAAATTGATCATATACTCA